ACGACCTACTACAGAAACTCCCCCAATGGGCGCTAAATTATGGCGAACGGAAATTGTGGATCGGTAATGAACCCATCCCGATATTGACGGCTACTCCTGGAAGAGCCGCGCCTTCGGTAGCGCCTGCAACACCGATGCGACTTCAAGCGGCCACAACGGTCCTTCTTCCACCCGCTTCGGAGGTTCTTGTTCAATGCCATCCAGCCGATTCCGATCACCCTCCGTCGCTACTCTACAATGCTGGCGCGGTGCTTTCCAATGGGGAGATCTTGGTGGCACCATCGATATCGCACGCAAATAATTTACGACTAGTTCTTAGTAACCCAGCTAATGCCCCTAAGGTCATCCACAAGGGTCAGCAACTCGCATCTGCTCTACCGGTGGTGGAACTTCCCCACGGTACGTTCGCTGAGCTCCCGCACTGTTTTAACATCTATTCATTCACACCAACGACCTCCCCGCTCCAGCAACCATCTCAGACAACAGAATCAACCCCGCTAGATATTGACCTTTCTAGGGCAGAGGTGTCACCGGAGCAGCGGCAACGTTTGTGGGACCTGTTTCAAGAATTCCGCGATCTCATATCTCTCTCGTCCTATGATCTTGGCTCATATGAGCAGACCCTCATTCACATCAGAACCACTACGGAGGTTCCCCCCACTCGTCATCGCCCCAACCGTGTACCAGCCCGCCTGCAGAAAGAGTTGGACGACCATATTAATAAATTACTAGAGTCGGGTCGCATCTTGGAAAGCGATACCCCTTGGCTCCATAACACGGTTCTGGTTAAGAAGAAAGACGGTTCGCTTCGTGTTTGTTTGGACTTTCGGCCTNTACCCCTTGGCTCCATAACACGGTTCTGGTTAAGAAGAAAGACGGTTCGCTTCGTGTTTGTTTGGACTTTCGGCCTTTAAACGATATCACCATCCCGGATCGATACCCCCTACCCCGATTGAGGACCTGCTTGAGCGTGTGGCCGGTCATCGTTACTACACCTCCTTTGATCTTGCGTCAGGCCATATGCAGTTGCTCCTTTCTCCAGAGAGTCAAGCTAAGTGCGGGTTGGCCACCCACCGGGGAGTGTACCAGTTCGTGTACCTGCCGTTCGGTTTACGTAACGCAGGAGCTTACTTCTGTCGAGCCATGTCTCGAATCCTGGCGCGGTTGGGCGCGAACTGTTTGGCTTACCTAGACGACATCATCGTTTTCGACCGTACATTTGACTCTCATTTGATTACGCTTCTTACAGTGTTGCAACGGTTCCGACTATTTAATATCAAAGTCTCCGGCAAGAAGGTCACCGATATCGCGCAATCATGTATTACATTTCTCGGCCATGAGATCTCCCAAGCGTCGTATTCCCTGTCCCAATGCAATATCAAGGCCATTGAGGAACTCACTACTCACACAACCGTCAAGCAGGTGAAGAGTTTCTTAGGAATGGTCAACTTCTTCCGTAAATTTGTTAAAGGATTCGCCTCTATAGCGGCCCCCCTCTAGGACCTGTGTAAACCCCATAGCCTGTTCCGGTGGGAGGCCCCACATGAACAAGCGTTCCAACAACTCGAGCAAATTTTAGTTTCTCGTCCCTGCCTGGCATTTCCACAAGGTGAAGAATTCATCCTTCATACCGACGATAGTAAAGTGGCAGTTGGCGCAGCTCTCCTGCAACAACAGGACTCTTCAGCTGCACCAGTAGCTGTAGGTTACTTTAGCAAAACCTTATCCGCATCCCAGCAAAAATGGAGTCCCACGCACATCGAACTTTTTGCCATGAACAGCGC